TGATCTTGAAACAACTACTCGGGTGATAGAAGATGTGAATTGAAATTTTAATATAATAAGTCATGAATATTAAACAGAATATTTACATGAATTAAGGTCCTAGAGTATACCTTTCACAATTACCATGATTTAAAAAAAAATAAAATAAATAGCATCCTCTGAAAGTGGTGAAAAATCTAGTTACAGTAGTGGGTATTTCTTGTCTATTGAGGAATATGTGAGCGAAATGATGCGGCTACTGTGTACAACCATCACCGATCCTGATGCCTGATGTCACATGATTCGTACAAGACGAGACATTCACTGACTCAGTTCGCGGCTCTTTGCTGTTTCCAGTAGCATCAATATGATTCCATTGTCTTTGTCTGTACATGTTACCTTATTTTACACTTTGTTCAATTCCTCGCTACGAACTGCTACAAGTCTCGGAGCTTCAGTCTTCTTTGTTTCACCGTCAACTGGTGATTTTCTATCTTCAGTTGGCGATGTAGCATTTAATATAGTGGGTTCTGTATTTCTTCGTTTGATCTTCAGCTTGCTTTTCTTCAGCATCGTTGCCTAGGTGATAAAGACATGGTTGGAACAGGGTATTAGCAATGAATTTGGGGGTCTGTGTTTCGCCGCTGAATCTTGCTTTTCTTCAACATTGTAGCCTACAGAGAGATTGGTGAGAGTTGGAAGGTTAGCATGGGATCCCGCAATCTAACTGGCCAACTCTAATCAGGTGATCAAAATTCTGTTTACTGATTGGCTAATTTTGTATCATTTTCTTATATTTTAATTTTCAAAGGCATGCATCCCATCCTATTGTTAAAGTCACATGACAAACACATGGCAAGAAATCCAGGTGATTGTCACATGACTAATAGGCAAAGAAATTGAAAAAGAGAGAAAAAAAGTTACTTGACTTGACCTGCAATTTGAAACAGAATGAATTATTCTGATGTCAAAAGTAGAAGAATGAACTAAAAAAATCTAGTTAGAAATCCACTCTGTTTTATACACACATGCAAGAATTAAGAAGAATTAGGAAAAGAGATAGAAAAATGCACACCAAATTAAGAAAAAAAAGTATGAAGTGTGAAGTTAAATGAGAAGGATTGTTAAGAAACAAGTTTATAAATCTCATCAGCCGTTTTCAGGCATGATATATCAACTGCAGTTCCATGCAATACATATTCAAGACACAATATTAATGTATTTCAAAGCAATATTCCACCACTTGAAAATATAC